CCCCTTTATTCATCAATTATAGAGCATCATTTTTTTGCCAAGCCTTTTTTTCTCAAAATTGCTTTGGTTCATGTCCTGATTTTGTGAGATTTGGATTGGCAATATTCAACAAATGCAGCTTGCTTTTGTTTTCATTGTGGGTCTGCAGGGTCTGTCTGGCACTGCCCAAGCTGGAGAACCAGGAACTCGGAAGGGCAAGTTTAGCTTTTTAGCCATTCTGCTCAGTGGAGCGAGGCATGAACTGTGTCAAAGAGGGACTCTGTCAGCCACCCTTTTGCAGAATAAATGATGGTGCATCTATTTAGGAAAGACAAAGATAAATCCTGGCACTAAGAAACTCCAGGGTCTGACACTGCTGAGCACAGGACAGCTCTGCTTCCTGCAGTTGTATGTGTTCAACTGAGAGAAGTGTTGCTAACCAAGGAGGAGGACAACATGACATTGACCAATGTGCAACCCCTTTCAGACATTTAAAAAAGCTGTCAGGCATCCACCAGGTCTCCAGATATGCCTGTTTTCAGTGGGAAGGAGCAGGAACACAGAAGAACCAGGGAAGAGAATGGAATTTTGATATTGATGCTGGAGGACTATCAGTTGCTCAGGACCTCTCGCACCAGGCTGTTACTTGGCAGAAAGGGGCCAAGCTGACTTCTGAACTGAAAATCCAGCAAACTCCTTTGCTACGGTCAACTTGTACCTGGGGAGGAAACTCTAAGTGGGGATCATCAGTAATAGTTAAGTGCCTAGTGCACCTTTTTTTTTTAAAAAAAAAAACAAACCAGGGTGTGGCAGCCTGGGGACTGCTGCTGGTACTGGCAATGGGATTGCCCTCCCCTGTCATGCAGCGCTTGATGCCACAAACTGCAATCTTTGAGACCTCTCCCCCTCTCTCAAACTGACTGGAAACTTTGCCTCTAGGTTCAGAAGTTGGTGGTGTGAGCAGGAGGGCAGAGAGCATTTCTGGAAAGCCTGTCTGCAGCGTGTGGGAAGTGGTTGGGAATTATTGTTAGGAAAACATTTGTTTGCCTCAGCTGCAGCTTGGCAAAGCTGTAGGCAGTGGTTTGATGAGGAGGCACCTTTTGGTTGAAACTCCATAGAGACAATTCCCCAGCTGTGTGAAGCCAGTACATAGGGCGCTTCACAGGGAGAGGAGAAACCCAGGCTGAAGGCTCTGCTCCATAAAACTCAAGACAGAAATTTTTCCACATCTGTGCCCAGGCTGTCGCCTCTCTGGGGCAAGATGGTCCCTGTCTTGGAGAGGCTGGTCCCTCTCTGTGTTGAGCCTCTTCCATACCACGTGAATATCTGCCTGAGGAGGGGGAATGAACCTTTTCCTCCCAAAAGGTGTCATCACTCCTCACATTACTGTAGCAGGTCTCTTCTTCTTCCTCAGTCTCTTCTGCTGGAGTGGCTTTGTGTCATCAATTATTCATTGGGCCAGTGACAGACTGGCATGTGAGGAGAAACTGAAACCCTGGGCTTGTGAGGCAGAACAGGGCAGGTTGAATGGGCATGCTGTGGTGTTGAAGCAGAGGTGAGAGGGAACACAGCTGTGTCAACCTCTACCTCACACTGTGTCTGCTTGCAGAAATAACAGTGAGATCACCAGGACTGTACCGAGAGCTGACTTACTGCCTGCCAGTGTGAGCAGAGCTAAGACTTTGCTTGCTTGTTTGCCTGCAAGGTCAAAGCTCCCTGAATCCCAAAGGCACTGCTTTTTCCTCTCACGGTGCTTCCCTTGTGCGGTAGGCGTGAGGCACAGATCTTTGCGTGTGCTGCATGGGGCTGGTGAGCATCTCCAGTGGCTGGGAGCCGGGGCACTGCTCAAAGGAGGCTTCAGCTGGCAGGGTCAGCGCAGGGTGGTGGCGAGAGACCTGGCAGGTACTTTGGAGGTGCAGTGACTGATTTAAGCCAGAGCCAGCTGTTCCCGTTAGCAGCAGGCACTGAGAGCACAAAAGAGAGCCTTCACCTCTAAAGACGCTAGGCAAGTTGTAACCTTGAATTTTAAACTGATCCAGTCTGGATCCAAGGCCAATTAGGGTCAACATAAATGGAGACAGATTCCTGCAGCTGCTAGCAGCTCTGGCTTATGTTCCAATAATCATGTCCTGGCCTCCTCTCTGGTGCTTTCAGTGGTGCCCATGCCTTTGTCTAGCTGTAAAAACTACCCCAACACCCTGTCATTGTTGAATTAGTCGCACAGCTTGTTGCCAGCCATAGGGATAAGTCTCACGCTGGATATTGCTAGCATGCAGGCAGTCTTTCCAGTCAGTGCACAAACCCCTTCCTCTCCATTGTAGGGCATGCCGTGGATATTCAAGTGCAAAACATCACCCTCTCTTAGCCTAACAACTCCACAAGGCCTTAAATCTCACCAGAGCTAGCTCCCTCATGCCGTATTAGGTCTCATCTTTCCAAACTTAGGTTTCCTGACAGTATGGGGGAGATAGGCTTGTGGTTATGAAAAGGAGACTGGAAGTTTAGTGATCTGTCTGGGAAGTCGCCCCTGCCGCAGATGCCCCTCTGAACTTCAGCTGAGCAATTTAGCGTAGATGAGGTGACACCAGCGCTGTGGAGGCAGATATAGGAAATGACACATGGTGTTTTGTGCTGGGAGCCACATTTGTAGCTTAAAATGCTCTGTGGTTTTTATCTTCCCTCAGCAGTAGAGGGAAAAAAGTGCTAGAATAACCCATGAGGAGGCAGAGCCTGGAAAAAGCCTCCAACTTCCCAGACCCGTGCGGGAAAACATCCTCCTCCACCCGTACCCCTGTGGAGGGCTGTGGGCTGCGTAATGCCAGTGCCACACCCTCACCTACCTCCTGTCCCGTCCCTGAGGGACTGGGGACACAGGTGCGTCCCTTCCCCAGCACTGAGCTATTTCGGGCGTTACCGAAACCCTCTCCTCCTTTCTGAAGGAAGGAGAGAGCAGCAGCAAGGACTTCGGAGGGGAGCACCTTGCCTGACTACAAAGCCTGCCCCAGGGCACCCCCAGTCCCCTCACAGGGCCGCCCCGCCGCCATCGCGACGCTGCACAGGCTGACCCGCAGCCTGGAGGCTGGCACTGCCCCCCGCCCCAAGGGGGGCCCCGGGACGGCCCCGGGACGGCGAGAAGGGGCGGGGTGTTTGGGGGCCGGGG